ATATGTCATGTTAGGAAGTTATTATATATTAAAGAGAAACGGTTACTTAAAGGAAGAGAAAAAAAAAAACCCACTCTCCGCTATTTTGTACTCCAACAAAGCCTTGTGTGAAACAAGGTTGTATCTGAAGAGACCAGTTTCACAGATCTATACAGGATCTGACCCAAGTTAATTTATTGTTACGTTTATTTTCTAGCAATTCTTCAGATACCAGTTAAAAATTGAAGTAACAGGTCAGGTAAAGTACATGACAATGATAATGAAATAAGTCAGGTGAATATACTAGAACAAGTCATTAAATATAGGAGGTAGTATTTCACAAAGGATGTTTTGTATCAGCATAGCTACTTGCTGTACAGTAAGTCCACTACCTCACACCAGAGAAATCCAAAAATAATTCCTCTAATGGCTTGTTCATTTCTGTGCTTTATCAGCCACTTCAACTATCACTTCATGAGGGAAAATGTCTTTAAGATGTACAGGAAAGAAAAGCTTGAAATACAGCTTGATTTTCATTATTGTTTAAAAGCATCTATTTTCTACCACTGTGAGCAAAGATGAATACACGATGCTTCAAAAATGAAAGAATCATCATATATAGAGATATTTTTATATTAATGGACGCTAGTTCAGTGATGGAAAATAAAGCAATGAATTGTGAATTGAAACTACTAGATCTATGGTTTTAAAACAGACTTCAGATATCTTCTTAAAAGACTGTTTTTAAGTTTGAATGCATGATGTCAAGTGAAATATTGGGACTTACCAGCAAAAACAAGACTAATTACTATGTCTAGAGACTGAAGGGAGAAGTCAAAGTGGGCTGCAATCAGTCGCAGCTAGCAAAAATGTTTGTTTTAAATACGGGTGCAGTTATAGTGTTTTCCTAAAGAAAAAGAAATCTCTTTTAAACAATTTTGACCAGCTCTAATGTTCTCTAGGTAACCAACCCAGCTCCTCGTTTCATCTGCCACGGCATGATTTTCATTTATCATACTATTACTTGCATTATTGGTCCTGGGTATGACCATAAACTGCATCTGACTGGAGGGTCTGGTGGCAACATGTCAGGCTAGCTCCTATAAAATACCACAATGTTGCAACCTCTAGAGTAAGCTGTGTATAAAGCACCACAAAACCCTAGCCCCCACTGCCTTGTGGGTCTCCTTGGTTGAAGAAAGGCTAAAGATCATCACCCTGACAGACACGTGCACTCACTGAGGTATTAAGCAGTTAGGAGCAGTTCTTCTCTTTTGCTCTCTGGCAGACACTACAAATATCAAGGCACTAAACATCTGAACTTGATCTGGCCTTTGGATTCTGTCTCAATGGTCAAAAGGCAGGGGTGTTGGAAGGTCTAAGGCAGCTTCCGCTCCTTCGTACTCTTGCCTAGGTGTACGTACTGAAGGTCTTGGTGTGATGGTTGTATGGACCTCCTGCACACACCATGATCCAGAGGTCTCAGACCCAACGAGATCTTAGGGATAGATCTCTGCTGTGGCACACTGGGCCTTTAGAGAACGTGCCCTGAAGCAGCACCTTGCCTCACCATAACATATCCTTTAGCTGAAATAGTCTAGGCTGACTGACCAATGGGTTCATTAAAATATAATGAACCAACATATCATGAAATACACTGCCAAGTATCCCTCCAATGCAGAACCAAGTATATTTCCCTTCATATCACCCCAAACAATCACCTTTCTAGCAAGATTGTGCCCTGAAGGTCAACGGATTCTGGCTATATATCAAATCAAAGAAAAATGAAATAAGGCAAGTAAAATTCAATTTTAAATGCTTTGCTGTGTGATGCATATTCTTGACTGCCATTTAGAAGTACAATGAATAATTTATTTTTGTATTTGCTACTTGTGATCATAGTGGTCATCTCAACTCCAGTAATAAAACCTTGTACTGCTACATCTATATTGAGAGAATGAGGGGACCCAAAATGAAGTGTTCACTCATGTAAGGACAGTCATTAAAGTTCTTATTTAGGATCTGTTCCGTCTCCAGTTGTACTCACTGACAGTATTCCCCTAGATTTTTTATACAAACACGATCAGGGCTACAGCAGAACCCTTTTGCTGTGGCTAAGGTAGCATGTGACTTAAATCATGATTTGTGAATTTAAGCTACCATTTTCTATTATACAACTCAAATTTCTAGAATTATCCTCTGAATCCTCAATGACTTAGAAATAATACCATACATTGATTTATGCACATCCTCACTATCTAATCTTTAGAGGCATCTACATACGTGCTTCAGGGTGGGCGGGTGCTTTAATTAGAGTGACTGAGAGCAGCTCTGAGAGCAGCTCTAATTAAAGTGCTTGCAGCATCATGTGTATCCAATGTCTTGCACTTCAAAATGATGGCGGGAGCACTTCAACTAAAGCTTGTTCAAAGAGCTTTAGTTAAAGCACCCCTGCCATCACTTTGAAATGCAGGGATGCTGAATACGTGATGCAGAGGCTGCTGGAGTGTGCTAATTAGCATGCTCCAACAGACTTGCAGCAGACTCAATTAATTGAGTCTGCTCTGATGTGTGCTAATTAGCACACACTGGAGCAGAGCTTTGTCACGTGTGTAGGTGCCCCAGGGTTCTATAATGCAGATGTGATTTTAGGGTAAAATAATAATGAAACCTTTTAATACTTTAATTTCATTGTAAAAAAAATATCACATCACATCTTCGAGCAGAACCATTCAAAATATAAAACCATAGAGTCAACCACTCAATAAACTGAAGCCTTAATGCTATTACCAAGTTAATGTTCAATTATATTTTAAACAATTGTTGCTAGAGAATTGAAATGGTCATAAGACTGGTGCCTTATTTATTAGAATGACATCATCCAATAATAATGCAAGCTCTGATCCAAACAAGATCTCAGACTAAGAGACCAGCAAGAGCAGATGATTTCCCCAAAATTTCAGCTTCCCACAATCCTGAGGGCTCCTTAGGGACTAATGTCAATTATACTATCATCAACGTAAATGGCATTTTAAGGAGCCTCTGTAGCAAGCAGAGAATGTTAATGTTGATCCGAGGTGCCAATACACAGTTCCCAGAAGCTCTGTAACCTTTCATGTGTCTTTATTCAGATGGGTCTAATCCTATCATTTTTGTGACAGACCACTGGTCCCAACTCTGCCTTTGTCACTCAAACTCACCCACTAAAAACCAATCCATTTTCCAAAGTCAGACAGTGTGGAATTTAGTGGTGGCAGCAAAAAGATAAACTCCTGTATAGAGCGTATGATAATGAGAAGTCTGCTGGCTTTCTTGCTTGATGGGTTATTCTTATTAAGATAAAATATTTTCCAAAAACTCCTCCAACTAAAAAAAACAAAAGTTCATAAAAAAGAGAGAGTAGTGGAATATTAACACTTAATACTGCAGGATGAAAGATTTTGATAGCAAACAAAACTCTGCCTGAAATTTAAGTATTAGGATTCTTCAGGGAAGCAGCTCTTTCATTTGGCACTTAATCTATACATTTCATTCAGACAATTAGCTTCTTTAAGGAATAAATTTGAAAAATATAAATGTAGTAGCCATGTAAGTCAAGAGGAAAATTCATGCTAGGGAAACAGGTGCAAGTCCAGTAAAGCATTTACTGGAAGTGATATAACTGAAAGCTTAATAAATGAGTATTTGCATATGTAGTATTCCTGCTATATATATATTTGCAAGTCAAGGAAGGATGAATGAATCATTTGAAAGTAAAATGGATGTTTGTATTTTATTTTAAATGAGGATTAAAAGTATTCTTTCTAACATGTCTACAAGTCTTATTTCTTTTTTCTAACACTGGCTCAATGAGAGACCACTTGTTTCTTATTCCTCTACTTTCATAGACATTAGGGGCTGGAAGGAACCTCAAGAGATCATCGGGTCCAGCCCCCCTGCCATAGGTGGGAAGTCAGCTGGGATCAAGTGACCCCAGCAAGAAGTAAATCCAGCTGTTTTTTGAAGGAATCCAGAGTAGGTGCTTGCACCACCTCTGGGGGTAGTTTGTTCCAGACCCTGGACACACGCACCGTAAATAACTTTTTTCTAATATCCAGTCTAAATTGGCCTTCCTGGAGTTTATGGCCGTTAGACTTTGTTATCTGTTGGGGAGCTCTGGTGAACAAACGTTCTCCCAGATCCTGATGTGCCCCTCTTATTAAGTTGTAGGCTGCCACCAAGTCCCCTCTGAGCCTTCTCTTCTCCAGACTGAAGAGTCCCAAGACGCTTTGACTATAGGAAAAGCAGTTAAATGCTGTAGACTGTAGGATTTAAAACTCATGCCCTATCTAAATGAGTTAGCTTGTAAGGGTATCTTTACACATGTTTTTGTTTCTTTGTGCAGTTTTTTTTTTGTGTGGGGGGGGGGGGGCATTTAATTAGAGTGGCTCCAAGAGCCTCTGTAATTAAAGTGCTTGCATCATTTCATGTATTCAGTGTTCTGCACTTCAAAATGGTGGCAGGGGTGCTTTAACTAATGCTCATTCATCGAGCTTTAGTGTTCCCCACTTTGAAGCATGGGGACAGTAAATACATGAGATGGGAAGGCTCCTGAACTGTGCTAATTAGTATGCTCCAGCAGATTTAATTAATCAAGTCTGCTCTCATGCGCTGTAATTACAGGACATTGGAGCAGCGTCCCTGCACAGCTACAGGCACCCTGAGATGCTACCCTGCCCTTTCTTCTGCCTAGCTTCAGACTAACAAGGTTAACTACCCCTCAGAAGTACGTTAGTATGACATTAAATTCTGAATTCTCAGGCCTTCTGGTTGTAAAGTTTCCAAGTGCAAAGAGTGACTGACAACTGCCACAAAGTATCCCTGCTCCTCCAACATTTCCATGGCATAATTAGAGTCTGTGGAATAATTTCGGGTCTCTTTCCATTGGGACTTCCTGTGCCTCTGGCAAAGTGTCAGACCTCCTTACCAGCTCTTATGTGAGATGCCATTTCTGGTTAAAGTAAAACTTTGTGTGGATTGCATGTAATAAAGAGGTGATAGATGTAAATCCAGGTAAGAAGTGCACTTTATTTTTAGGTCCCTGTAACAGGACATGAGGATTGGGATAATAAGTTGTTCTGTCCATCATGTGGTAGGAGTAAAATATTCAAAGACAGATGTCTGTATTCCTCATAGATATATGTTGCAATCCATGTCTTCGACCAAAATGTTCTCTCATGGCAGGTCAGAATTGCATCATATTTCATCCTCACTCCAGTCCAAATTCTAAATTCCTATTCTAAAACAAATAAGAATCATACAATTGAGTGATTATCACTCCCTGTCTCATCAGATTCTTCATAGCTTGAAATAACCATGTCCTTGCCTTTTGGTTTCATTTCCTCTCAATTTGCATCTGGGTAATTATTATCTCATTCTCCACAACACTTTTCATTTTACTTCTTGTATTTGTATGATAGAGAGTTTATATAACATACATCTTTCTTTGTGGCTGAGAACCATTTAGGTATGGCTCTAGTTTGAGAAGAGACCACTGAATTCTCTTTATGGCATGGTCTCAGTGTTTACTGAACCCAGCCATAAGGAGCTTCTGCTTTCATAGGCATATGTTTCCCATCTGTGAATTAAGCAAATTGCTGGCAGTCAGATACAAAAGCCAGCATATTTCTCTCTTCTCTATAAATGAACAGCTTTCAATTTTGTTCAAGACATTTGCTGATTGCACAATTGGTTGATTTGTACCTCAAAATTAGAGAGCTGCCTGTCTAACAATCATTAGATATAAATGTATTTATTTCATACCATTTGGAGCAAAGTTTTGCAGTGAATCCTGTGAAAGTCCAATTTTCTATTTGACATTCATGCTTGGTCAGGTGCAGGTTTCCTTGGTACATATTCCTGCACCAAACATGCTACTTAATGGCTATTATTAATGCACACATTAATTCTTCTCATTGAAAGCTGTGCAGCTCCCAACCTAAATGTCACACAGTGTTGCAACACTGTCCCTGTGTTCTTCATCTAGCATCAGCAGTTGCTGGCATTTACAACTCAGCTGATGGCCCATATAAAGTCCTCCATCTCACAGCTCTCTTGTATCCTTACATGGATCAGTTAGAATAGTTATACACAGGCTTTTGAGGCCCCTGTACATTAGAGAAAGGAATTATGGGCTATTCCAAATGGAAGAGCATAAAAGAAAATAGAGTCTTCAAGGTTAGCGAAGGATGTATGCTCATGTGAATCCCATGATTGGAACGCACCCTACACCACCCACTAGCAGCTGTTTGCCTGTTTTCCTGGGCCATCTTTTAGTCATGTGTGTTTAAGCCGTCTGTCTCATTATAAGTTTAATGATTCAAGAGGACAACATAATTTGGTTATGTATGCCATCGCCAAATACCTGAAAACACGCTTACATGAATGTAGAAGTTAATTTCTCGAGATTATTTCTCTATCAATATTGCGCAGTGTGACAGGGGGATGTCCCAAGGCCGGGCACAAAGCTGGCCTGCCCACCTAACTAGGACAGTCTGCCCTGTCTTGATGTATAAAAGATGCAATAATGCAGGAGGATGCCCATTTTATGCCCTGATGCCAAGGGCATTATACACAGCTCAAACCTTCCCTATACCATGCCCCATGCCTTGCAAGTGGCATCCAAAGTAAAAGTTATGCCTCAGGCCTCCTCATACATGCCTGGGCTTCCTGCTCTCTCACTAGGGCCTCCACTCATGCCCCTTCACTAGGGCCTACATTCCAGCTACTCCAGTCAGCCCATGTGCAATCCTTCAGACCCCCTTCAGCCCTACTCTACACAGCTGCCACCACTGTGGTCAGCCCACGTGCAGTCCTTCAAAGCCCATTAGGCCCTATTCTACATGGCTGCCGAATCCTTCATTGCCCCCTCACTGGGGCTACAGGGCCTTGCATCACATGGGTCTCAGGGGTCCACAGATGTGCCTGTACCCCACTCATGGCCTATTGGCCCACTCAAGTCTTAGGTGCCTGCAGACAACCTGGACCCATCTCAAGGCCCCACACTATGGGCCTAGGTACCACCTCAGGCCCCATTCAGTGGGCCTGGACCCCTGTGCTTTTCTCTCAGGGTATGCTCCCCTAGCCTTTCCCCTCCATGGGGTAACCCACAAGGTAGCAGGGCTGAGGCTTTCTGGTGCCCCATACTCACCCTTCATTAGGGAGGCACAGATGCAGAGGTGGATTAAGGTGTACTGAGGCCCTGGGCAAGTACAAAATTGGAGGCCCCCTCCCACCAGGGGAGTTGGGCTGCAGGTGGGGGGAGGAGAGGGGCCCCTTCCCCTCCTAGTGCTGGTGGGGGAGGCTGAGGGGCACATGCCTGCCTCTTCTTCCTCCTCCCAGTCCCCACTACAGCTGAATGTATGTACACACACACACACACACACACACACACACACACACACGGTGCATACATTCTGCTCATGGACACACACACACACACACACACACACACACACTTTTCCTTCACAGGACCTCCCCCCTCCCCCACTCTCAATCACATGGAGGAAGCCTTCTGCCCTGCCCCCTGCTGTGAGCTGTCTGCAGCTCAGTCTCACTCCCTACCCAGGCCCCATTACAGTGACCTGCAAGGAGCTGCTGCCTGGCTGTCCCATGCAGCCACACAGATGCAGAGGGCCAGGCTGGGAGTGCTGTGCTGTGTGTCTGCAGGTGGGCAGTGGCACTGGGAGGGGTGGCTGTGAGAGGGCCAAGATGATTTGGGGGCACACTGCTCCTGGCCTGGCTGGCCCAGCCCAGCCCCAATCACATCTCCCCCCACCTGGTAGGGAACAGCTCTCCCATACTGGCTCAGCCCTCTTCTGCCTGGATGTAGCACCACCTAACCCGCCCCCTCCCCCAGGCATGGCACAGCTCTCCTAGCCCAACCTCAGCCCTGTTCCCTGCCCCTCTCCCCAGACCCATTGATAGAGAGGCCCCACTTCCAGCTCCTAGGGAAGCAAGTGTGAAAGCCTCAGTTTTAAACTTGATGCCAAAAATGGGCACCAAGTTTAAAACTGTGGCTTTCACTTCTCTGCTGATGAGGGTCCCGGGGCCCCAAGTTGGTAGAGGCCCCTGGGCCCATGCCCAGCTTGCCCATTCATTTATCCACCTATGCACAAGTATTGAATTTCCTGCAGACTGCCCGCCACTGGCAGCCCCATCACACCGTTGAGCCCCAGCAGGTTGTAATTTCAGGTCATGCCTCAGGACCAAGAAATCCTGCCATCCCCATGGTTCCGGCCCTGTACCTCCAAGGATGTTATGGGAGCAGCAGATCCAGCCAGGCAATGTCCATCCCCCACCCCCAGCTGCTTGCAGCAAACTGCTGGCCCTACTACTTAGGGCCTATTTTATATCAGACAGTTGGTCTCACTTCCCAATCAGGCAGCCTCCTGATGGCCATGTCACTCCTGATTGGGAGTGCAGCCACCTGCAGGCTCCTCTGCTATTCTCCTCTATTCTGGCCCTTAAAATGGCAAGCACCAAAGGTGCCCTACCACACTCAGTTGGATATAACATTTTTAGCTTTGCTAAAGGCTTTCTTGAAGTATAGTTTATTACCCTTCCCAGAATAAGGTATGCTTTCAATAGAGAACCAATTATAAGTATATGCATTGATGTAGCATCCAATGGCTAACTACATGCATTTGGAACTTTTATTTTGTTGCTGTTTATCTACCAAAAAAGGCTTTGGGGGAAAATAACTCTTTCCTTAATTGCAGCAAATATGATATTTCATGTCAATTTTGCTTATTCCATGCCAATTTAATGTGCTGGAATACTTCAAGGCACTCAAAAAGAATGACAATGATCTCCCAAATGGTATTTCTTTTCCTAAACCAAAAAGGGAACCTTTACTTTGCCAGAAAATAAGACACTATAGCTCCAAAAGCTATTTTTCTTTTAATAGGCAGATAAGAGCAATTATCAGTAACATTTCAATCAACTTTCTTTGGCAAATGTGCACTCTTGACTAAAGTGTCTTATTTTAATTAGTAAGTAGGTTGAAGTCTGAATTATCAGATGGTTTTGCTATGAAAAGATGTAATATATATATGTAAAGACTGACTCACTCAGGGTAATTCCTCTCTCCAAAGGCAGTCAACTATCTGAAAGAGAATGATTTGCATTGTAACTTAAGAATAACATAATGTTAACAGTATCTCATTTTCAAACTCAAATGAAACTCAGAACAGAGTAGTATGGGACTGAAAAAGTACTTGAAACCAATGGTGCAACTTGAGGTTCACACTGGAGAAGTCCACCAGGTAACTTGGGACAATTCAACCCAGTTAGATAATAGTTTTAAATGAAGTTGTAGCATATGCAGTTATTCATTTTATATCCTGTTTGCCGCATCTGCATCAGAGCTATACATTGATTCTACACAGGTTCTTTTAACAGAACACAGGTTCTAACAAAAAACAAATAAGCCTTTCACTATGTGACTGCTACAGCATATTACATTAAGGTTCACAGGCACTTGACTGAGTAATGGTTTCAGATCGGGCTCCACTTTAACCAAAAGATTTGTAATGAAGTATGTGATATATAAATTTTTAATTTAGAAGTGATTCAACTCAATGTCACTTTTGTTCTATAAAACCAAGGCAATCTCAGGTGGTTTGAAGTGTCTTATAGAAAAATCCTAACAGAATCTGCTCATGAGCTGCCAAATATAAAAAAGGGGAAAAAAAAGGATAGTATAGGCTCATCAGCCAATTGCTTGCAACTTGTGAGCGATTGCTTACAACTTGTGTCTTTAAAAATTAGGGATATTTCTTAGTAAGATACATGCACACACACAAACAAAACAAACAAAACAAATAAACAAAAACCCAACACCTGTATGAGCCACTGTATCAGTTTTCACAAATTATGGAGTGTCTGCATTTATTGCTATCAAAACCATTTAAACAGGGTATAAATCCAGGGGTGAAGAAAGAAAGATAGATAGATAGATATAGTATTCCCAAGGCTCAGTGGTAATGTTCACATTTGCCAGAATTCACAAAATCCCTTGTCTCAAAATTCCTTTTATTTATAGTCGGTAGGGTTGGAAGGGACCTGAGCAGATCATCAAGTCTGACCCCCTGCCATGGCAGGAAAGAGTACTGGGGCTAAACGACCCCAGCAAGGTGTCTATCTAGCCTCCTCTTAAAGACCCCCAGGATAGGAGCCAGCACCACCTCTCTTGGAAGTTGGCTCCAGATCCTAGCCGCCCTGACAGTGAAGTAGCGCCTCCGTTAGTTTTAAACCCATCTCCTACTAATTTCAGTGGGTGCCCCAGAGTTCCAGTATTTTGGGACTTGGTAAATAACAGTTTCCTGTTCACTTAATGATTTTAAAGACCTCTATAAAATCCCTCCTCATTCTTTGCCTTTCCAAACTTAGCCTTTTCAGTCTCTCCTGGCAGTTACTCTGTAGCCCCAATCATTTTGGTTGTTCTTCTCTGTACCATCTCTAATCCTGCTACATATTTCTAGAGATGTGAAGAGTAGAACTGTACACCCTATTTGAAATGTAGGCACACCATAGAGATTTGTACAGTGGCACAATGATGATCTCCGTTTTGTTTCCAAATCCCATAATGATACCCAATATTTTATTTGCTTTTTTTGGTCGCTGCTGCACATTGAGCTGACATTTTAAAAGAACAATCTACAACGACTCCAAGGTCTCATTCCTGAATCATAATAGCTCGTTCAGAACCCAGCGTTGTGCATCTGTAATTGAGGTTCCCCCCCCCCCAGGTGCATTACCTTGCACTTGTCAGTGTTGAAACCCATCCTGTTCTCATCCACCCACCCCTGTAACCTGTCTAGGTCCAATTGCAGCCTATTTCTCCCTTCTAGCATGTCCACTTCTCCCCACATATTTTTGATGAGTTTGACAAACCCTAAATGCTATTAGAGAGCCTATCAATATCACAATGATGACCTCCCTAGACATGCAGCAAAACACTTTAAGAAGAAAAAAAAAAGCATGTGCGCCATACTGCTGTATATTATCCCATTTCAATATTACCATTAATCTGCAATGAAAAAAAAAAAAAAGTTACCAAAAAAAAAAAAATTACTTTACAGAAAGAATAAAGGATTACAGATCCATTTGTCTTACACAAAGTGTCACACAATTGTTTAAAAAGCAAACAAAAACAATCCCCCCCCCTCCACACCTGACTTCAATTTAGAGTAGATTCTGGATAAAGGTGCAGAAAATGGGTTTGGTTTTGTTTTAGAGGGAGAAGGTGGAAGGGGGGTAATAAGAGCAATAAAATTGGCTGGAGTGACCTTTTCAAATCTGTTATGGAACATGTATCCCCTGCTCAGAGTCTCTTGATTCAATTTTAAATTAGGGAGATAATCCTCATTTTCAATTTGATGTTTCCATAAAGGCTTCCTGTGGATCTCCAACTACCAAGTACACTTGAAAGCTTGTAAGTAACAGCAGTAGGCTGATTTTTAATTTTTCTTTTACACCACTTGAGTGCTTCCCAGTTCTATGAGGCAAAAAATGACAGCTGGCAGCATGTGACACAAGATGCTGATGGGCATCACATGCCAGCTTTAAGCATAAGCAGTTGGAAGCAGCAGTGTAATGATACAGCTGCCACAAACAGGAGTAGTGGCAACTTCCAGTTGCCACCTCTGTGAGTGTGCTGCTGCACCCATTCTTTTCCACAAAGCCAGTGCCTAAGGCAGCTGCCCAGTCACCCTGCCCTAGTTACAACCGTGGTTGGAAGGCTCCAAGGAGTTTGTTCCCCGCCCCCCCCACTTAGTTGGTGAAACAGAGATCTAATTTATTAATGGTACTTGCTTGTTTCCCACCTCTTCCCCCCCATATCAATGTTTTAAACTGCCTTACTTTCTAGGTGATGTCAGTATTATTAAATATACATTTATTCTGTGGATTTAGATACCAGCTTTCAAAATGCAGTGGAAACCATTGCTCTGCTGTAAGTCAAGGTATATCACCCCTAGAACTTTACACACTGATATTAGTTTTAGTAATAGTGCTTTTAAAACGAAAACACTGCTTACACTCACTTTCAGTAGCTGCTGTCATGTCATAATAATAATTTCTTTGCAGCACTGCTTAGTAGCCCAAGTCCTGGTTCCAACCTATGTTGTGCTATGTGCTGTACAGATGAAGAACAACAAGAATTCAGGCTTTTATAGCATCCTTCATAGGTTTTCAGAGGAATTCACAAAAAGAATTTAGTTCCAAAGCACCAAAGTGCAAGTGGTTGCCTCTTCACCAGATGCTCCGATAGGAAACTGAAATAATAAAGAAGCTTAGCAACAACACCATCATTCTGCCACATCCAGGAGTAGAAACTAAGAATTCATGTACTCAATAGTACCCATAGGTTTCCAGAGGAATTCACAAAAAAGACATTTAGTTCCAAAGCACCAAAGTGCAAGTGGTTGCCTCTTCACCAGATGCTCCGATAGGAAACTGAAATAATAAAGAAGCTTAGCAACAACACCATCATTCTGCCACATCCAGGAGTAGAAACTAAGAATTCATGTACTCAATAGTACCTTTCTCTGAGCTTTGCAGAAGCATCTGGAGGAAGATCTCACCCCTCAAAACTTAATACCCTGCAAGAATTAGAGAGAAGCCTGGGGGAATTTGCTGCTTTAAAGCACTAATTCTGAAGCAGATTCTGCCTAGAAATTAAGGGACATACTGGGGAATTTACAGCAATTAGCATCTGGTTTCCAGCCTGTCTCTACTAGATAACTTCAACCCTGCAAAGTTGCAGAAGGTGCATCTGCTGCCTGGTCCCCCACTGGAAGAGGGCCAGTGCTCCCATGCTAAGTTTCCCTTGGACTCCCCAAGACAAGCCTGCTAATGCTGAATTCTTTGTGGAGCTTCCATCTGCATTTGAGATGCTCTTAAACTAACTGAAAGCTCTTTCATCAATTCCCTCCTGTCAGCTACCTAACTATTGGTTATTATGTGGTGTCAGCAGTAAAATTAAGGATATTGCTACAATATAGACACCCCAGTTCCTCCCCCAAGTGACTGCAGCTTCTGAAAATATAGCAGGAAATTAGGCACAAAATTAGGCAGTAAAGAATTACTGCTGCTAGGATTACTGACATCCAAGGTTAAAGAGACACAGGATGTGTCTACAAAAGACGCTTTACTGTGCAATAGACTAATCTAATATGCAGTAAATTGTCAGTATCTACAAACGAGTGGGACTTATTCTGCAGTAAAATTAGGCTATTGTGCCATTGGCTAGTACCAACAAATACAGGTACTAATTAAGGGTACATTAGCTACTGCACAATTGTTCCCAGTCAGCATCTACATGTGCACTATTTACTTCCAGTCAGACTATAAGACTAGGTAGCAGAAGACCACGGGATGGGGAGCAGTAGGGAGGAAGCCGTCTATGGCTACAGAACTGCTCAGCTCCTGGCTCCCCAAGAGCTGGGAGCGGGAGCCAACTGGGGCAAGCACCGTATGCGTAGTGGCGGGGCTGAGAGAACCCAGATCTTTCCCCATCCCTTCAGCTCTGCCACTGCCCATGCAGCTCACACCCCAGTTGACTCCCGCTCCCCACCTGTGCCTGGGGAAAGCTGGGAGCTAAGCAGTGCTGGGACCAGGGAGGCAGTGCCAGGGGGAAGCAGAACACAAGGGGGCAGGGGGAAAAAAAAAAAAAAAAAAGGACCAGCGCTGCTTCCCCCTCATGTCTTCTCTCCAATCCCCATCACTATTTTCCCCTCACATCTCCACCTCCCCCACCCAGTCCCAGTGCTGCTTCCCTCTGTCCTGGTCCCAGCACTGATAACACCCCCATGCTTGGGCACAGGACATTGCCCCAAGCCAGCACCACTGAGCTGCACTGTGATCCTGGGCTCTACATGGCTGGGGGGTG